TTTTCAATACAAATCTCTCAAAAGACGTTTGAACAGGTCGGTTAAAAAGACACCAAATAAATAAAAACGGATCAAACTACTACAGCGCCATCTTCCTTAGAGTCTGAACTAAGTCCTCCATTGGTAAAAATTTTTTTATTTGCAATTTAAAATAGTGAAAATTAAATAAAACTAAAATGGGTAGACTCGCCCCTGGATGGGTAGATTCGCCCCGGTTTACGGTAATCTTTTCATCAGCTCACACGATTATATCCGCAAAAAGGAGTGCTTTCTAATACTGTATCAATATAGCCAAAGTAAAATATATCAATACTATAAAGTGAGAAGCACTCAAAAAAAATTTTTACAGAAAAATTACAACTAATAAAATCGAACACAATAAGTAAAAATATCTCGTAAAAACAGAAAATAAAATATGAAGAAAAAAAACATGAAATGAAATCTATAAAGCGAGTAGCGAATTCAAATGAACTTACACGAGCCCGAAATTTTTCAAGAATGATTTAAAATATTTTCGTAACAAGATTGCCAGATTGCAAAATATGAAACCAAAAACGCAAATTGAGGTGAAAGCGTAAATACAGGGGTTTTGTATTTGAACACCGGGGAATTCGCGTTCGGCTAACCACCAACAGGAACATCTATTCCTGCACTCCAGAGTTCAAGGTCAAGAAAGCTGGGATAGGCATTTTAAGTCTTGGTCCTCCGTGGGCTACCGCGTCATTGAGTTTAGTCATTGAGTTTTAACATATATAATAACTTACGTATTATCATAAGTTATTATATATGTTAATCGATAACACATGTTAATCTACAGCACTATAAATACTTTAATTAATGTACTCGTTTGATTAATGTTTATTCTTTAAATCTTAGTACTTTCTCGTTTAAATAATTTTTCTAAGATTGAGCTTTGTACCTTCATTTTTGTTTGTGGTGTCATTTCATTTTCGGGTGGAAGAGTCATATGATTCCAATAGGCGCTACTAGTTGAAAACGACTGCATTCTGTCACTCTCTTCGGGTTTTACGTTACCACTGAAGACTACTACATCTGAAATAATATATGCAGATTCAAAATTAAGGTTTTTCTAATATTAAAAAAAACATATTGAAATGTGTTTTAAAACTGAAAAGGGTACTATTTAAATACTCATATGTAATTCTAAAAAACATAAAGAATTTTCAACATTCCATAAATATATTGAGCAAAAAATTAGTAAATCTAAATTAAATGCATGCATCAAACAGTAAAAAAATAGTTTTTGAAAAATATACTTAAATAGGACTAGAAAGCTACAAGAATTGAATTTAATATATAAATGTGTAAAGTCACATAAAAATTTTAATGATTTTAATAATTAGAGCGGTCCATTATTTTTAGGTCTCTCTTCCGATTTTCCGAACAAACAATTTTTTTTCTTTGTTATGAAATTTCGCCTATTTCTTTTACCCTTTTTAGATACTTCATGATTCATATATTATTTACATTAATTACTTATATAATTTCGAAAAAAAATCTTGTCTCCGTTGCGTATTAAACTTATTGATTATTTTTGAGCATAGAATACTGTATAAGTAAGTTTTTATTTGTATACGCATTACAGACTATCATGTCTACTGTGTAGGTTGATTCACTTAAAAGAAATAATATAATGAATTAAATATTTTTTTTAAAAAAAATAATAATAAATATTTCAAAATAGTGCTTCCAAACTCGTAACCGAAACAGTTTTGTTCAGTCACGAGTTTGTTCGGTTACGTAAAACAAGATTTATTAAGAAACTTCTAACATACAGGGAAGAAAGCATTTGCTTTTCCACTGGAAATCTCTGAGCTTTCATAGAAGCTAATAACGGGAATCAGAAATGAGGGATTGAAGAAACTCGTAGAATATATAGAAATATTAAATAAAAACTTTAAAAATATACAGTTTCTTCAAGCTGTGAGGATCGAACTCTATCTGTAAGAGCGACGATCCTAACTATTCGGCACACGTCAATATATTGTCGAGTCTCAGTAGTTCAGGGGTAGAATTCGCTTCTATAAAGCCGAAGGTCCTCGGTTCGATCCGGGAAGCGGACACTAATTTTTCTATTTCATTTATGAGCATTTCAGAAGCTTCTGGAATGTTCAGTCTATGTCATTTCCTCCTTCGTTGTTCCTAGAAAGCTTCTAGAACATTCTGTAATAGTATAAAAGCGATCCCGTGATTGTAAAGAGGAGTTCCTCTGGGCGCAGACTGGTTCCCGGTGTTTGTAAATTCCTGATGTTAATAAATTATCAAAACCTCATCTTGTAATCTTCACTAAATCTAAACACTTTCACGTGACAATATTAGTTTTAATTTAAAAGCAAATTTATTTTGCTTATTAATACTAACTATCGCATACTAGATTCCCTCAAAAAATCACAGTTGATACTTGACAGCGGACCTTGTATTTGTTATTATTTATTAGTTTAACAATTAGTAATAATATATCTGGTAGGCAGAAATACTTATGAATGATAATCTAAAAATTTATTTTTAAATAATATTTTAAAATGAAGAGTAAATTTTAAATATTTATTTCCAAGGAACGGTGATAGATAGCGCAACATGCACTGCATTCAACAGATAGATAAAAGTTTAATGTTTTTACTTTTTTTATTCTTCTTTATTTATTTTTCAAAGTTGTATCACGCGTTTAGTGTGAGCACAATTTTCTAAGCGACAAGTGTTGAATCGGAACTCCATTTCTTGCCACACTACGTAAATAATCATTTCCCACTTGTTGAGTTTACTGCGATTGGTAAATTTCGAGGTAGCATATGTGGAGCTCACATATATGTGCCCGTAAAGATAAGTTTTCTTATTCGTGAGATCTGATGATTTCGGACGATGTTCCCACTTCCTCCATTCGATCGAATAATAAACATGCATAAAATAACTTCCAAAGTTTAAAAAGAAAGAATACAAAACTGTTTTTTTTCTCCATTTATAGATGTACATTATTTTGTGACAGTTCTTTCCTATAAATGAATATAAAATTTTTTAAGTCCACAGTATTACCTGGAATATTCTCTCTTTTTAAATCTTCTTCTCTTCCAGGGTACAAACAGCCTTCAGAAAATGAATCTGCTGACTTCTCAGAGTTATGGGGTGATCTAAAAATAGTTCCTCACTTACCATAAAATGTTGTAAATACATAGTTTAATGAAGGTAAAAAATAATTCGAGAAGGAAGAAAATTTCCCAGGACTACGTCTTGTGTAAAAGAACATAACTGATGAAGATTTAAATTAAGTTTTCCCTAGAATCGGTTTTTTTTCCTCCAGAAAGAAACAAAAACTAAATAGAAAAATATTAACTTTTAGATTTTTTGTTAATTTGTAACGATTTTAATTATTTATAAGCGATTATTTATAAGTAATGAATGAAAAATAATAAAAGAAAAACAGTCAAAAATTTTATATGCATCCGTTATTTATTGTTTTTTACACGCCATATGAAAATTTTTAAATATAAGGAACACGGGACGTATCAGAAGATGGGTTGGCATTTCGTCCAGAAGAAATCGACTTTCTTTAGGACACTTGCAGAAGGACAAAGAAAAACCAGAAGAAATGAAAGTAACGAAAATTCGCCAATTAATGTAACGAAAAAGTAATATTTTAACGAATAACCACTAAGTAATAAGTTAACGGAAAATTTGAAATGAATAGTTTAAATTTAAAACAATAAAGTACAGTTCAAAGTGATAAATCCTTGAAATTTTCTTTAAAAAAACTATTTTCATATCATTCAGTTTAAATGCATACAGTATTTAAAATTTATATAACTTATTATAATTTATTTCGAATTTCGATTTATATTTCTTTATTTCCCTTAACAATGTCTGCACTGGTGACAATATTATAAATATGTCCTATTATATATAGATAAATGCATACGCTTATATCTAGGTGAATTATCTAAACTTTTATTATTTTCAGCCTAACAAATATTCTGTATAACGATCGAATCATATAAAAAAATAATTCTTGGTAAATAGTAATTGAAGAATTATTACTTTTCCTGAAATTATTTCAATTCGTTAAATTTTTATAAATGCTTTTAAGGCCAATGCATTTTTTATTAATTTTGGAATTTGGAATTTTTTCATTTCTAATTTTTTTTATTTTTACAGAAGCGCTTTGGTAATGATTTAGGTAAAATTAACAATAAAATAAGATTTTATAGTGTGTGGTAAAACTTGGTCAATGTGGTACAATTAAATAATTTTATTATGATTTTCTGAAGCATGACATAAAAACCACCATTTATTCGGCTACATTTTATTTTTACTTTTGTACTTGTTACTAAATGTGTGGTAATAAGAACTATAATTTTGAACACAAGAATTTCCGGTAAATGGTTACCATATTAATGGAAAAATTATAACTTTTATGCTTACTTTTTCACTATTTTAAAAATAATTCTTTAAATGACTTGGTAATATTATAAAATAATACCTAATTAGTTGATGACTAGTTATTTAAAATAGATTGCTGCGATATGTTGTTTAAAATTTAATTTGATACGTGATGTTTTTTGTTGGAAGAGTTTCTTCACTTGAGATAGAGAAATTCAATTCTTCTGGGTTGTTTTTCCCGTGGTTTTTTTCGCAGTTTTTTTTAATTTCCCATCATGAAAAAAAAACTTGCCATTTAAGTATTGCTCATTTTTCAAGATAATTATGGAATTTAAAGAAGTGGTGAAAAATAGTTAATCATTAAAAACGTCTTTGTATTATATTTTACAAATCAAAGGCAAAAAAAGACTATGTCTAAGAAACGTTTAACTTAATCGGGCTTATTGATTTCTGATCAATTTACAAACTAAAGATTGTGATTGTATACTATTTCAATCGATTTTATCGTTATTTGCTAAAAACAAATTTATAATAAATATATATTTTCTGAAAAAGAAATAAATGCTGTGCCAATGTTAAAATTAAGAATCTCTATCGATTCCCGTATCAAATCTGATTTAGTCTTGTAAACTTCTCCAGATAACAAAACCATTTTTTTCCATGTTATTAGTTAGCAAAATGGATTATAAAAGGGAGGAAGGTCTCTTAAATAAATCTTTTTTGTTAAGCCACCTGAAGATTTAAAAAAGAAAAATTATTTTACTGTTTAATAAAAAAAATATCAATAAAGTATAGTTTAAATAATTATATCATCATGTTTTATGCCTTTTAATATTCATATTTGACTGAGATTCACAGAAAAAAAAATTACAATAATTTAATTAATTTTAGCGTGGGATGTAAAATTGACGACACGTTACCTTTCACATTTTACTTAAGAATTTATTTATAATTTACGTATAAATCAACTTTAAAATAGAATGAACGAGTATTTACTTTTCATTTCCTTGGCAAACTGAAGAATCTGTAAAGAAAGAAAATTATTTTTCTTTACATATAACTATAGCACTTCTGCGATCTCTGACTTTACGACAATATCTATTTTAATCATAAACTATAAATAAATATAATATGATAATTTATATATTCTAATATATAAATATTACAATTAAAAACTATAATAAACTGTAAACAAAATGGATAATGACTGTGGTATTATATATCACATATGAAATATTTGTTTTGTAACATAAATATACATTTTATATTTAATCTTGGCAAATTAATATACATGCTTTGATTAATTTTTTCAATAAATGTCATTTATTTATTACTGTTACTTTAATATGATATATTTTTATTAATTTAATAACTTTTTAATTAAGAAATATCGGTTTGATTTAATTACTATCGCTTTAATGTAGTTTATATAATCAATTACGACAGCCACCTAAATTATTTTTAAAAATGTTATTTTCCCAATTTATAAGGTTGGAATATTTTAAATAATTGTTAATTACTTAAATAATTGTCTATTCAAACATTTTTTTATATTTTATTTTGAATGTTTGATATTGATGTAGACTAAATGTTAGCTTAGTTTTTATTAACAATATTATTATTTTATTCCACAATTTACAATTTTATTCCTGGCATTTCCTTGTTTGTTAATGGCTACCTTTGATTGTTAACGGTTACGGTTACTTCTCATATTGTCATTGACTAAAAACAAAAATTCTTTTCCCCGTTAGAATTGTCTGAGTCCCTTTATCTGATTTTTTGTATGTGAGAACGCTCCCATCATTGGTTTAAGACTAACTTTTATTTGGCAGTCAACATCCCCCCGAACTATTTAGCAAACATAGATTCAACTGTGAAATTCAGGTAACTCTTTCTTTTGTTGGTAAAGAACCGAAGATTTGAAAGTATTCTTTTCTGACTCACGTCACATACTCGGAGAATCTTCTTTTTGGCCTTAATTTTACCATTTTCTTACCAAATTTGGTTAATTTAACTACTTTTTTTTACAACTCGGATTGGACGCACAGTCATACTCCGTGCCAACCAAGTTGGCTCGTCCGCAAATGTAAACCAAGATTAAAAAAGCGGAGATCTATCGGAGACTTGGTCACTTAAATTGGGATTTTTTTTCCCGCTTGATTGCATTTGATGGAGCGTACAAAATATTTGTCGGAATGTGGCTCATTATGTTTAGGTTTTTTCTAAAAGATCGAATAATAAAATGAAATTGTTTTTTCTTCGGTAAAATTATTGTATTTTTGCTGCTTCTTAATGCTTCAGTTTCGTAATAGTTGGTGAGTATTGAGTTTAATTACTTTAATATGTTATGTTTTCATTTAAATATTTGTGCCTCAGAACCGGCGGCAAAACCCTTGTATTTTCTACTACCGATCACTACTTCTATTTCTTAAATTCAAATGCTTTTTGCAGATTGTTTCCTTTTAATATTTTCGGCCATTTAAAATGTAATTTTTATTCTCCTTACCACAATCACTTTGCTAAATATTGCTTATTTTATCAATACTTAAATAAATTATTATTATCAATATTTTATTGACACGAGATATTTTAAAAATATTAAATACATATATTAAATGCATAAAAGGATTTAAAAGAAAGTAGAGTTAAAGCTTTTTATGTACAATTGCTATTCTATAACAAAGCATGTTATAATATTTTATTTATTTAAAACATAATTAAATATCACGATGTATTTGAAATACATAAAATGATTTCAAAGAATATAGAGTTTACGCTTTGAATAGATAAATGTTACTTTATAATATAACAGATTAAAACATACACGAAAAAAAGTTTTTTTTTCTCATATGTTTATTAAGTTTAGAATTAAAAAATGTATTATGTTTTAAAAGAAATAAGAAACAGTGGCACATTATAACAAGGCAAATAAAGGAATGTAAGTGGTACGAAGAAGTATCGTTTAATGCTAAGCATAGTAGAATATGTTACTCAATAAATAAATAAATAAGCTAACCTTTACTCTTTCTTCCACTCGAACGGGTCTTCATGATGCAAATTATTAGCAAGCTAATGATGATTGCCACACCCAACGACGCAGTAATCAAATATATTATGAAATTTTGATCGAATAACCCCCAACTCTCATCTGTAAATAACCCAAAAAGTTCTATTTTAGAAATTTAAGTACTCTTTTACACAGATTTTACACAGATATAATAGAAAAGGAAATCGAAATCAAAAGTAGTAGTTATTTCCTTCTTTATACATAGTATTAAGTATACTAAATGTTGTATATTTTATTTAGATGCAAATATCAAGAAGATATACATTGTGAAAAAATTTCTCATATAAAAATCAAAGCTTAACTATTAAATCTAGTCTGAAGGATACTTAGAACTCATTTCTTTTTATAGGATATATAGGTGACATTTGCCGTAAATTCCTCTGGATTAACAACTATATGTATCGCATGCAATCTCAGACAATCCATGTTTCATCCAGACGTACTCAATAATTTAAGACATGATCTGAGTACATTTGGGTCATGTTATCTCCATCGTCGTTGTTTCTCATTATCCAGTTAGAAGTACGAAAATATCAAGGATAGATTACTCTGGTTTTAATTTTCTTGAATAGATGAAATGACATACAATGTATGCTAGAATGAAATAAAAAGTCTGATCTCTGAATTTAATTATTATATTTAATATTTCTTAAACACTCGATTTTATTAGGATTTTAACGGAATTTTTTTTACTATGATTTTGTGAATTTCACATACTACAATCTGGTATTTAAACAATTAACTCTAATGCAAAGAGTATCAAAGTTGTTTTACTAATTTTGTTTGGTTTTAAATACTACAATCTTCATTCTGTTTACTTAAACATTTTATTGAAGCATATAATGCAGCTCGTGTAGAATTACATTTTTAATTCATTTTAGACAAAAATTTCATTACTTTAGAGGACAAATAGTCAGAAGAAAAGAACGCATAGTTGTCATGTAATTAATAAAACATTAAAAATGCAATGAAAACATGAAATTGCAATTAAAAAACTTAAATAAAATTGCGTAGGTTGTACGCAGAAATCGCTGGTATCATGATAAAATAAAATAAGTTAAATATGAAAATATATTATTACATAATATTTATAAAATAAGAAAAAAAATATTTATTTCTTTAAAAAAGTATCATTCACATATTTTTTTTCATTTTGGAAACTCTTTGACAGGTTTTAATAAGTAAAAAAAATCTTTCAATTAAATCTATTTTTTATTTAGATTAAAGGCAATAAGATTCAAGCAACTATTATTCAGTGACATATCTACAAAATTCAGTGTTTCTCCTTACATAATAACAAATCCACAGTGACTTTTTTTACCGTGCTTCCCGCTCTATGAAAGTGATGATGACTAGATATAATTAACAGTAAAATATAAATTCATTACTATGCTATTTGGTGGTAAATGTTATTAAATTTGCTAATTTTACAGTGATACTCTAGAACAGTGATTCTCAACCACTGTGCCGCGGCACTTTTGTGTGCCGCCAAATTCTTACAATGTGCCGCCAAATATTAGAAATGATACAATAAAAATTATAACGCTTTTTTTTATTATGAGTAAAGTTTAAATTAAAGAAAAGTGTGTGTGTGTGCAGATATACTTTTTGTAATTTTTCCACGCTTCAACAGCGTGAACATCTTTGTCGGAAAAGAACAAATATATAAAAAACAAATTAACAAAGGATAACTAGCAAAAATTACGCTAACAATTAACAATTAGCAAAAAAACTAGTTAACAAGAAATCGCAAAAAAAATAACAGTTAATAATTATAGAAAACAAGCTAACAATTAATAACTAGCAAAAAAATAAATAACTGCTACTAACTAATAAAAAATTGGTCGAAAGAAATAATTAATCCCTTAATAAATGTGCTTTTGCAGTACATATTATTTTATTTCACATTCAAAATTATTACCACAAACTACTTAACATGGAGTAAAATAGGTCATTAAACAACTTTTAATCTAATTTTGTTCATTGTGTGCCGTCAAATTTCGAAATCGTTAAAAGTGTGCCGCAACAAGAAAAAGGTTGAGAATCACTGTTCTAGAACATGGCAAAAAAAAAATATTTATTCGGTTAAATTTACTTTTCAGATTTGTATTTTTACAATAATTATTTGGTAATGAGAGCTATAATTTTAAAAATCAGAATTTCCAAAAAACCATTACTATACACGAAATCAAAAACTCCTCAAATGAATGGTTTAAATACTGTTGCACCTTCCTTCCATTAAATGAATAATTTTACCTTACGATAGATGGCGCAGTGTGCGCATCTGTAAGGATAGCAAAGTAATACATAGCTTTTCTCATCAGTCTTTTGTTTGATTTCGTTTTGTTAAGTTTTAATAAAAAACTCTTAAATGAATTTTGGCTCGCACTGAATTATTTCAAAGTAATAGCCTAAAAGACATCGTGACGTAACATCTGGTGCTCAACGTAAATTATCCATTGACAAAAATATGGATAGCAATTGTTTAATCCAACGAAAAATTCCTCGAATAGTCTTAACAAAAACAATAAATGAGCTGCATTCTTCAATAGCTGGTAACAACATTCAGTCAGCATCAGTAGCATTTGCAAAACTTGAAGAAAAATCGAAGAGATTGTTTAAAAATGACAAAATCGTTTTGAAATATCTTTCCTTAAATCCGAAGGATAAAACCAAAACTGACAAAGAAGAAGTAAAATCTAAATCGTCAAATCTTGAAGAAATTTTAGAAAAAGAATTGGAACAATGTGAAAATTACAGAGATAACGTTACTTCAGCGAAACTACACTTCCATGAGTTTTCGAAATCCTACGAAAGTGTAAACAAACAAGCAGAAGTCATATCGTCAGATCGGATTAGCATCAATTTGCCGAAACTAGAGCTAACAGACTTTGACGGAAATCCCAAAAATTGGTTTTCTTTTTGGGCAATGTTCCAAAAAATCGATGAGGATCCTAAAATAGAGGACGACGTAAAATTCGCATACCTGATGCAAACAACAAAAGGTAGGGCTTTCGATTTTGTTCAGTCTTATCAAGTTTCTAAAAGTGAATATGAAACTGTTATTAAAAATTTAAAGTCACGTTTTGCGGATGATAAAATGCTAATCGAGTTATATGTAAGCGAATTATTATAACTAATTTCAAATCAATCTCAAAACATGCCTATTGCATACAGAAATCAAGGTTTATCATATTTTATTTAGGAGAAGGTGATGTTTACATTTTGTTACATTAAAGACTGGACAACGACTAACTAGAATCGCGGGATAACAATAGTTGAGTTGAATTGTTGCAAGGCGCATTTACACTGACGATAATAATACATAACAATTCTCTGGCGCTTAAAAAAGGTTGATTATGAATTATTAAAATTTAAGAGTTTATAAAGAATAATTAGAGACTTAATCTGATGACTGGTCTTTTCTCACGAGTTGATCTCCTTAATTGATTTAAATTTCTCTGGGTTACAGGACTTTTCGATGATTCTGGATCACTTAGCGTTTGACAAGGAACTAAACTGGAGTGCTGAGAAAGACTGGAACAGGAAGGCATGGTGGTTGCTGATGTAGAGCTAGATACTAGAAGAGAGAAGTGTACTCTCCTGGACCTAAGAAATTCTAAAGAAGTAGATATTGATTTTTTCAACTTGACAAGCTCTTAATTGGGTAAAGTGACGCTTGATCACATAACCATCGTCTAATTCAATGAGATAGTGAAGTCGTCCAAGTTTTTCAACAACAGTTCCATTCTTCCGTTTAGCAGATGATGCATAGTTGCGAGACTGTACTCTTTCTCCTAACTTGAAATTTTTGCTAAATTCTGGCTGCAAGGCATTATTTTTTTGTCCTTTAGTTTGTTTGATTAAGTCGAATTCACATCTTAAGTTTCTACCAAATAACATTTCTGACGGAGTTTTTCCATTGTTGAGTGGTGTTATTCTGTATCGGAAAAGTAGTTTGCATAAGTTACTATGGAGGGAGCCTGGATGATACTTCATGCATTTTAATTTTGCTTTTAATATCAGGACATAGCGCTCTGCTTGCCCATTTGCAGCTGGGTAGCCTGGAGCAATAAGACGCTGTTTAATACCATTTGACTTACAGAAATGCTGCAATTCTGCAGACTTAAAAATTGCGGCATTATCAGAAACTAAAATTTCAGGCAATCCATGACGACTAAAAATTTCATCTAGATAATAAATTGTGTTTGATTATCTAGGAGATGTCTTCATAGCAAAAATTTCAGGCCATTTTGAAAGAGAATCCACAACAATTAAAAAATGATGCTCCATGAAGGGTCCAGCATAATCTATATGCACGTTGCCAATTTTTCTCCGGTGCTTCCCATATGTGAAGAAGTGCTTTCGCTGGATTTTTTCTTACATCACAGCATTCACGGCAACTTTTAACCATGTTTTCAATATCGGTGTCAATGTTTTTCCAATAGCAGTAGTTTCGAGATAGAGCTTTCATTTTCACAATTCCTATGTGTGTAAAATGCAGTTGCTTGAGCATTTCAGGTTGAAGAGATTTGGGAATGATAACTCGATTTCCTCTAAATAGGATTCCATCTTGAATGGTTATACTGGGATCAAACTTGCTTCCAAAAACAATATCGTATTTTATTTTTCTAAGATCAGGATCAAGCTCAGTTTCTGTTTGAATTTGTTTTGCTCAATTCTTTCAGTTGAAATGTAATTCATGATAAATTGCTGGAGTGCTTGTGACTCATCAATACAGTTGACGTAATAAACTGGTAGTGGAAGAGTATTTCTTGAAAGGCAATCAGCATTTGTATGATTTTCAGATTTTCTATGTATAATTGCGTAATCGAAACTCGAAAGAAATTGAGCATATAAAAGATTTCTTGAAGCAGTCATAACTGGGACGCTTTTCTCTGGATTGAAGATAGCGCAAATGGCTCTGCTATCGAGAATTAAGGTAAATTTTCAGCCAAAAATATAATCGTGAAATGTTTTGCAAGCCCAAACCACAGCTGTAGCTTCACGATCCAATTGACTGTAATTTTTCTCTGCAACTGTGAGACTGGAAGCAAAAGTGATAGGACGCTCTATACCGT